TTCATCAAATATTCATGACAGTCATTTATATTTCCAGTGTTCAATCACTGTTCTATGACTACCTCCTTAGAATTCTCAAAATAGACCCATAATCTCTGTATGAGAATGGGCCTTAATAGAAGTTAGTACCTGCATTTTATTTCTCTGAAAATGGACTGCCTTCACATTTAATCCCATTAAGTGTGGGAACAGGGTAAGGGTGCATCATTCTGCAAACACTAATTGAGTGCCTGCTAGTTGGTCAGGTCCCCATGCTGAGTTTGGAGAATATTTAGGCACAAGAATGACCCTGCTCTGGTCACTGCTCAGGAGGAGACGAAGTCCCACACCACAGCAGCTGAGAAAGCTAGGGACAGAGTGTTGTGGAGGCAGAGGACATCAGGGATGCTTTCACACAGGGGCTGGGCTGAATCCTCTCACCATCCTTGTGGGGTACTTTCCGAGGCAGAAGAGATGGCAAGGGTGAGGTGGAGGAAGGAGAGGGGAGAATGGCACACAAATGGACTAAATAAATGTGGTCATGATAGGTATTCTTCCCTGACTTGAAAAAATTTTACAATTTTTACGTGTTTCTCACAGGCTATTTTTTATTTGAAAAGTTGGTGGGCATGGGGTTTTATCTCCCCTTCCCCCCCTCGGGATCTAATATTTATTGAATGTCCATATGTCAACGCTATATAATTTTATATGTGATCTCGTTCAAGAGATCAAATGCAAACAACTTGGCAGGATGGGTAATGTTATCCACGTGTAACCAGCTCACTGAGGGTAAGAAGTTCTCCAAGGCCAGTGGCTCGCAAAGGCCCATGCTCTTTCCTCGTGCTGCCTCTAAGGAAAGATGCTTCCGTGGGGAACTGGAAGCCCCAGCAGGAAGAGCATGAAGGACAGAGAACCTGGTGACTACTTACTATGTTCCAGACACAACTGGGAGCATTGCAGATAGATTAGTTTGTTTAATCCTAACTCCCTTCATGGGAGGTAGGTACAGTAATTACCATCATGTAAGAGAGAAATTAACTGAGGCATAAGGAATTCAGATAAATTGCCCAAGGTCACAGGGTGGGTGACTGGGAGAGCCAAGACCCAATCCAAGCAGTCTGGCTCCAATGTGACTCCCAGCATTTTCTAAGCAATTCTGCCTTTTACCCAGACCAAATCCTGACTCTAGAACCCCAGCAGAGACCCTGCTGAGCAAGATATCCCAGGAAGAAGAGCAGAGTGGTGAAAAAATTTTATGTCCCCAAATAATGGAAAAGATAATTCAGTGTGGCTTAAGAATTGGGTCTTGGTTGACGAAGCAATGGGAGGACAGTTGGAGGAGGTATATGAAGAAGGAAAGACAGGTCTTTCTCTTTTTTCCGAACACTATGCGGATGAAAGATTCTCAATTGGCATTTGTTTTGTTTCTTAATAGAACATTTCAGTGTCATAAGAGCATTTCCAGACTTCCGCCAAGATGGAGACGTAGGTGGAGGAACCACCTTGCCTCTGTGCACAACCAAATCTAAGAACAACTATTTTTAACAACAATCACAACCAAGCCACATGGAAAATCGACAATACGGAGTCCAAAGACATCTAAATGCTCAGCTAAACCGGTAAGAGAAGCGAAACCAGCAGCGGCGCAGGTTAGCAAGAAAAAATTCCCGGGTGGTGCGTGGAGCGCCGAAGGCGCTGATCTTGAGCTAGCTACGGGAGCGCACAGGGAAGAGGCGCGGCGGGCTGTCTGCGGTCGTTTGGTTGGTTGGTCCGTCGGTCGCACAGCTGCGTGCAGAGAAACCAGTGAGAAGGGAAGCCTGCGAGGGGCAGCAGGCTCGCACAATTCCGATCGGATAAACAAGCCCGGGTGAGTGCTGTGACTGGACGGGCTGGGCTAGTGAAGAGGACCGCCATTGCTCCTTCTCTGACCACGCCCCCACACACAGTGTCACAAACCAGCGACCTGGGTTGCCCCATCCCGGTAAACAACTAAGGCTTGGCTCGGCTTACTTAACAGCACCAATAGACCAAAAATGGCTCTAGGACAACTCAGAGCCCCAGAACCGATAGATCTAAGCGATGAAGAAATAGCCAGTCTTTCAGAGGCACAGTTCAAAACACTGGTTATCAGGATCCTTACAGAACTGGTTGATTTTAGTCACAAATTAGAGAAACATATGGAAGCTAAACTAATTGAAATGAATGGTAATACAAAGGAAACCAATAGTAATGGAAAGAAAATTGGGACTCAAACCAAGGGAATGGACCAGAAGGAAGAAAAAAAATGATCAAACAGAAAAGAATGAAGAAATAAGAATTCAGAAAAATGAGGAGACGCTTAGGAACTTCCAGGACATCTTTAAACTTTTCAACATCCGAATTATAGGGGTACCAGAAGGGGGAAAGGCACAGCCACCAGTGGAAAACTTATTTGCACAAATAATAAAGGAAAATTTCCTCAATCTGGCAAAGGAAATAGACTTCCGGGAAATCCAGGAAGCTCAGAGAGTCCCAAAGAAGTTGGACCCAAGAAGGAACACACCAAGGCACATCATCATTACATTAGCCAAGATTAAAATGAAGGAGAGAATCCTAGAAGCAGCAAGAGATAAGGGGACAGTCACCTACAAAGGAGTTCCCATCAGACTGTCAGCTGATTTCTCAAAAGAGACCTTACAGGCAAGAAGGGTCTGGAAAGAGGTATTCCAAGTCATGAAATCCAAAGATCTACAACCGAGATTGCTCTACCCAGCAAAGCTTTCATTTAGAATGGAAGGACAGATAAAGTGCTTCTCAGATAAGACCAAATTCAAGGAGTTCATCATCACCAAGCCCTTATTATATGAAATGTTAAAGGGACTTATCTAAGAAAAAGAAGATAAAAAAGATGAACAGTGAAAGGACAGCAAACTCACAGTTATTAAGAACCACACCTAAAACAAAAGCAAACTAAGAGGACAGCTAGATCAGGAGCAGAACCATAGAAATGAAGATCTCATGGAGGGTTAGCAACAGGGGAGTGGGAGGAGGAGAAGGGGGGAGAAGGTACAGAAAATAAGTAGCATAGACAGTAGATAGAAAATAGATAGGGGGAGGGTAAGAATAGTAGGGGAAATACAGAATCTAAAGAATTTGAGACATGTGTTCATGAACTAAAGGGGGAAATGGGGGGAGGGGTATGCAGGGTGGAGGGGAATGGAGGGGGGGAATAGAGCAAATGTAATGGCATAATCAATAAAAAAAAATTTTTAAAAAAAGCATTTCCAAATGTAAGAACAGAAAGATACACAATGGTATGATATTGCGTACACATGAAGAGCAATTACTCACTTCCAGAGATTCCCAAACTCTTTGTACTTGTCTCTATGCACTGACACCTTTATTATACCTTGTGTATTTTGATGAATATGAGACTTTTAATGATCAGAAGTTGATTCCGCCATACTTAAGATTTTTGCATACTCAAAAGTTCATTCCATATAAAATTATACAGGTAAAAATTATAGATAAATGTAATATCTTTGAAAAACTTTATTTAGTGTTTTCTTACTAATGAACTCCAAAATTTAAAAGCAGCAAATATTATCTGAGCTACATGTTTTCTCATCAACCACCAGATGGCATAAGGTGTGAGAGTTTTATTCTGACAGGGTCGCCATGCACGTGACAACGTGACCTGTAACTTCAAGATAATGTATTTGGAAAAATGTTCTGGCACTCAAATAGCTCACAATTACTTCAGCATATGCAGAAGTGGATGGACAAGCTGAAAATGACGGGGTCCTACTTTTTCTAAATTTGGAGGTTCTGTGGGATGCTGGCATTACATAATGAATGAATGATCAAACACATAAAACAAAGCAGTTCTCTTCAAGGAAATAAAATCGGAAGTCATGTCAAAGCAAAATTAACCTCATGTACTAAGTAGGTTTCTCTAACTCTAAATGAAACTTGAGACGTGCTTTCAAGGAAAAAAAATCATGCATGTATTTCCAATTCTGCTTAATAAAAACTTTTCTACTGCCTATAATTTGTTCTGAAAGCAGAAAAGTATCTAATGCAAAAGATTTTCTCCACTTTGGCTCAAAGGAAAGTCGTTGCAGGAGTCAACTGGAAAAAGAGTATCCAACCGAAAAACCTAATATGAACTCTGATGTTAAAGTGTAGGAAAGAATATTTTAAAAACATGAATTCCTACACAAATCCAAAACACAGTACATTATGTTTACTAATCCTGTATTTCCATCTGGAAAAGAGCTAACAAGTGAAAGAGATTTTTAAAAAGAGGCAAATAAGGTAAATGCAAAAAATGGGGTCTTTAAGCCCTCTAGCCTTCTGGTAACACCTCATTGAGGACTTTGAAATACACCCACTGGAATAAATGACGCCGTTAACCTCACCAGCACCACAGAGCTGAGATGAAAGCTCTGTGGACATCATGGAGCAGATAAACTGGCTTTAGAAGGCCAGTGCCCAAGATGAGCCTGAGATCTCCTCTTTAAGGTGGTCTAAGAATGAAGTCTATGATTTCTGAAGATGCTATGATAATTGAGTTTTGTATTTTACTACATATTTCCTCACTAGAGGTAATATATTGAGTTCCTGAATGAGAGAAATCTGTAGAAGAGAAAAAGATATTTGGAACTATGTGAAGGAGGAAAAACTATCTGATGAGATATGAGCAGGTTGAGTTGTTTGTGTTTTTTTCCCTTTTCTAAGTCATGTTGATAAAGATAAAGGGAATGGAGATGAGAATTGATGGGGAGGGTTCTGTGAGATTCCTGCACCATGGCTCAAGTCCTATATCCATTTTTGGCAACTAATAGGTAGCAAAGATGTTTCCCACCTGGATTCATATGAAAGGAAAAAAATAATACTTCTTATTTTTGTTATGTTTAGAAAAAAAGCACAAGTTCCTTCCAAAGGGTTTCTTCTGATGGTTCAGTTAGATAGTAGAAAGTGGAACAGTAGATAGTTCAAGTTAATGGGATAATATATTCCAGACACTTAAAATTACTTACTTTATATTCCATTCTTTATGATATTTTAACTCCACTTTCTTTCATTTATAATACTTTCTAATGAAATTTGGATCTTCAAGCACTGAAATGAGAATATAGAGATCTATGCATACATTCTTTAATAATAGTTCCAAGTTTAAAGCAATCCACTTATTAAGTTGATAGGTGGCAAGGATGTACACTATGTACTGCAAGTCCTATTATAATGTTTAGACACTTTCCAAATTTCCTTTATTTGAACTTGGTATTATTGGATATTATTTGAAATAAGTAGATTGTAACTTCAAAACTTTTCATTATACTGACATTTGTTTATGTATCATTTATAGCAATGAAGGAGGTGTTAAAATGATTCATATAGAAACTACAGACGCCATAGTTTAATGAAATTCTAATTCAGTACTTCAAGTAGCAAAATAAAATCTTAGATGTGACATTACAGATCTTCATCTTTCCCAAAGAATCTGCAACAGGTGATCGATCACCCAGCCTGCAAATCTTGCCTTTGCCAACAATAACGCTCTCTTCTTGTTGCTGGGAGACTGCCTGTCCCACTGACAGAAGGTGGGGTCACCGTGTCATTCCTTCACCTGAGTTCTGAGTTTCCACTGGGCCTAGTTCTCACCTCTAGAGCAATACTAAGTTCATTCCTCCCCCATGGGAGAGAGTCCTTCTAAATTTGAAGATAGCTCTAAGGGCAGCCTCAGTGTCTACAACTGTTTCTTAAGACATGATTCTCTAGAGACCCAACCACTCTCACCATCCTGGCAGTGAAATCTGTTAATATTCCTATTAGCTCTGGCTGGTGTGGCTCAGTAGATTGAGTGCTGGCCTGTGAACCTGGCTTTGGTTGCAGGGCAGGTTGCCCAGTAGGGGGCCCATGAGAGGAAACCACAGATTGATTATTTCTCTCCCTCTGTCTCTTCCTCCCTTCCCCGCTCTAAAAATAAATAAAAAATATATATATTTTTTAAGATTTTATTTATTTATCTTTAGAGGGGGAGGGAAGGAGAGAAGGAGAGAAGTATCAATGTATGGTTGCCTCTTGTGCATCCCCTGCTGGGAAATGGTCTGCAACCCAGGCATGTGCCCTGACTGGGAATCGAACCGTGGTTGCTTGATTCCCAGGCCTGTGCTCCATCCACTGAGCTACACCAGCCAGGGCTAAATAAAATATTTTTTAAAAATGTTCCTGTTAAAGCTTACATACAGAACTGGCTGAGGATCTTGTTTTCATTTGAACAGCAAAGATGAAATGAGTTACTACTTCCTTTGGTCTGTGTGCCACAGGTTATCAATTCAGCTGTGATCTGCATTAGTATTTTCTGGAAATCATATTACACCACTGGCTCATATGTTTGTCGTTAATTATAAAACTTACGCCTTTATTCACATAAAGTTTATTGACATCTATTATACTTAAGGCACTGATAGTTATTACACAAAATATGATTAAGACAGATCAAATACACATATATCCCTTATTTACTATCCATCTGTCAACTCCCTGTTTAATTGTCCTAGGATTATGGTCTTGAAAATTTAACCAACTAGATGTCTCCAACCCTCTTGCTGGTATCTGGAACTTCCTTCTTAAAAATATCAATTAATCTCTTCTTGCTTGATGCAATTTCCCATTGATAGAAAAAAAATATTTAAAGTGAATAGTTCTTTTCTATCAACACTACATGATTTTCATTAGCATTGTTGTTATTCTTTAATTTCTTTTTAACTACATTTTATTGATTATGCTATTACAGTTGTCCTATTTTTTCCTCCCCTTTATCCCACCAACTTGGTACCCCCATTCCCTCTAACATTCTCCCCCTGACCAGTAGTTCATGTCCACGGGTCATACAAGTAAGTTCTTTGGCTTCTCCATTTCCCATACTGTTCTTAACCTACCTCTGTCTATTTTGTAACTACCACTTATGCCTCTTATTCTCTGTACTTTTCCCCCCATTTCCCCCCGCCTCCCACCATTGATAAGCCTCCATTTCTGTGATTCTGTTCCTGTCCCAGTTGTTTCCTTAGTTTGTTTTCGTTTATGTTTTTTTTTTTTTTTAGGTTCAGTGGTTAATAATTGTGGCTTGTTGTCATATTACTATTCACAGATTTTTCTTTTTCATTTTTCTTTTTCTTAGAGAAGTCCCTTTAACATTTTATATAGTAAGGGTTTAGTGATAATGAACTACTTTAACTTGACCTTATCTGGGAAGCACTTTATCTGCCCTTCCATTCTAAATGATAGCTTTGCTGGATAGAGAAATCTTGGATGTAGGTCCTTGCCTTTCATGTCTTTGAATACTTCTTTCCAGCCCTTTCTTGCCTGCAAGGTTTCTTTTGAGAAATAAGCTGAGAGTCCTATTGGAACTCTTTTGTACGTAGCTCTCTACTTTCCTCTTGCTGCTTTTGAGATTCTCTCCTTCGTTTTAATCTTGGCTAATGTAATTATGATGTACCTTGGTGTGTTCCTCCTTGGGTCCAACTTCTTTGGGATTCCGACCTTCCTGGACTTGCATGTCTATTTCCTTTGGCAGATTGGGGAAGTTCTCCTTCATTATGTTTTCAAATAAGTTTTTAATTTCTTCCTCTTCTCCTTCTGGCACCCCTATGATTGGGATGTTGGAATGTCTAAAGTTGTCCCAGAGGTTCCTAAGCCTCTCCTCATTTTTTGAATTCTTGTTTCTTTATTCTGATCTGGTTGAATGTTTATTTTTTCCTTCTGCTCCAAACCAGTGACTTGAGTCCTAGTTTCCTTCCCTTCACTGTTGATTCCCTGTACATTTTCTTGTATGTCACTTTGCATGACCTTCATTTCTTCCTCTGTTTTGCAACCATACTCAACCATGTCTGTGAGCATCCTGATAATCAGTGTTTTGAATTCTGTATCTGATAGGTTGACTATCTCCTCATCACTTAGTTCTTTCTAGAGCTTTGATTTGTTCTTTCATTTGGGCCATTTTTTTGTTGTTGTTGCAGCACACCCGTTATACAGTAAGGGGTGGAGCCCTAGGTGTTCACCAGGGCAGGGCAACCCACTTCACTGCATTATGGCACTGCATGTGAGGGAGGGGTCAGAGAGGGAACAGTGCCGCTTGCTTGGCCCTCACCCAGCTTTCAAGAGATTGGCAGTTTTTCCTGCTGCCATAACCCTCACATGTTTTTACAGGTAGTGGTTCTGAGGCTTTATTTTCTTTGTGCTGGAACCCTAGGTTGCGGTCTGTCTTGCTCCCTAGTTGTTTCTCCTGGTTTATCCGAATGCTAATGTGGGACTGCCTGGTCCATCAGCCACAACCTATCTGCCAGCCACTGCCTTGCTGCACATCCTCTCTGCCCTGGCTAGTCCATCTCTGCCCCTCCTACCAGTCTGGATGAATGTTTCTTCTATAACTCCTTAGACCTCCTTACTGTTCAATTTTTTGGTAGTTCTGGTTTTTTGTTTTTAAATTGATTGTTTCCTTCTTTTGGTTGTGTGAGGAGGCAAAGAGTTATCTTCCTATACCTCCCTCTTGGCTGGCACTCCTATTCTTTAATTTCTTTTCTGGCTTCAAACATACACAAGCACATACACATACATATTCTTAAAGGTTTTGTTAATACTGTTTTTATTGGTATTTGGATATATACCTCTTTTTTCCATAGAGGGATATTTGATCCCTCAAGAGTTCTTACTGAGGTCTCATTATTTCCTTTAGATGATTATAATAACTAATATTAATGCAGTTCTTACTAAATACTGAGCACTTATAAAGCATGAATACAGTGATTAACAAACAGAAAGGTTGAGTAATGTCTTCTCATTGTGACTATATTACTTAGACAAAAGTTAAAATTTGAGGTTTTTAAACAAGGATAATTTATATCTCCCCTTAATTTTTTGAAACTGCCTTTCCTACATTTTCTACTTAAAATGTATGGCAGTCTCTTTCTTATATATTATGAAAACCCAAATGGCGTGCTCATATTTCCTGACTATCCCTATTAATCTGATATCATTATATTACTTTCTTCATTGCTTTCTCTACTACTGAGAAATTTTAAAAACAGTATTTGTACAAACTTTTTAAAACTTCCTATTTTATCCCTATGTATTTTTTCACTTATCTGTCTCTGACCACCTTACTGTGAACTTCTCAAAAAGCTTATCATAATATTCATCTTATTGTCTCCAACACACGACCCATTGTCTAGAAATAGAAGATGCTCAATAAATAATGTTGATTGGAGAGAAATAACAGAGGAATGAGGACAGAAAAGAGAGAGCGAGCATGGGAGCACAAGAGGATGAGCAAAAAGAAAGGATCAGTAAAATTCTGTCATAAGTTCTTTTCTTTTTTAATCCTCACCCACGGATATGTTCATTGACTTTAGAAGGAGAGAGAGAAACATCAATGTGAGAAAGAAACATCAATTGGTTTTCTCTTGTAGATGGCCCAGCCATGGATTGAACCCACAATCTAGGTATCTAAGTATGGCCCCTGACCGGGAATCAAACCTGCAACCTTTTGGTTTCTGGGACAACATTCCAACCAGCTAAGCCACCTGGCCAGGGCTACTAGAAGTTCTTGAGGCTGACCTCCCCCAACTCATCACTACTGTATCTTGCCTTAGTGGCAGGTTTGCATTCTGCGGTAGAAAATCATCCTCTATCGCCTCCATAATATAGTTCTCCGCCTTCCCTTCTGGGGATTACCAGGCGTTGCTTTTACTCTGGTTTTGTGATGACACACCTCCTCCTGTCCAACACCTATACAGATTGATCTTAAAAATGTTTTTTCCATTGCTGGGACTGCCATGTCCAAAGGAATATAATAATGCCAACTTTCCTTAGTAGGTTTTATTTTCACACATACTATTTCATACTAATTGCAGAGCAACTTAAAATAAGAGTGGGGCATTCTTGTCAATGAACAGAAATGAAAAATGAGGTACAAAGTATTAAATGACTAACGTAAATTTACTTTACTGTTCATGGCAAACTAGTACAGGGCTGAGGAGTCTCTAACTTCTGACATCATAGTCTTCCTGCTAGAGCCTTTCCAAACTTGGTTGCACATTGTAATCACCTGGGGAGCCTTTAAAGC